TTTCGGTCCGGTAATTTTGGGCCGATAATTGAGTGGCTGTTTTGCTGGGAGTCAGAGATTGAGAACCAATCGCGCTAGGCGACGCGTAGCTCCACGCGTTTGCCTTTTTCATTTTTTAAAGTCAAAATTGACATTTCCTTCTTTTATTAGTTCTTAATAATAATTTTGAATATGGCCAAGGGAAGAAAGATGTTCCAGTAAAATCAAAGTTTTAAATATCGATGTGATAGAAATGCCGAGATCTCAATTTTATGAAAATATTGATAAAATGTCAATGTTGATGTCGATAGATATTTCTGGAAAAGTTATAAAATGAAAAAGTCGTAAAAATTATTTAAGTTAACCATTTTAGTATTTTTAAATAAATTAAATAGAATAATATTAATATTATGTCTATATTAGTGATATTTTGTTAATATTTTTCGTATTTTGTCATTTTTTATAATATTATGGAAATGTCGATTTATCTTTACTATTATGTATAACCTATAGATACATGGAAGTATCAATGTTTCGACATACCATCAATAAAACATATTTTACCATCTTTAAGATTTGATTTGATTTTTCCAAGAACTTAGAAAAAGAAAATTGAAAATTTGAACCTTAAATTATAAGTTCAATGCTTATAAGTTCCTTAATTTTAAAATGTTTTTTAAGAATTAATTTTAAAAGACTTATTAAAAGAAACATTTAAATTTTTACTAAAAATTTTCAACAAATGGAGTGCAGAGATTTAATCTTCCACTCTAGGGAAAGTGATATATCTTATTTTTAAAGTTATATCTCAATTCACTTTTTTAAATTTAAAAACCTATTAGACAAACTATTGAAAGTTCAACAACCTGTTCGATCTCAAAAAATTAAATACTAAAATTTCAATGAGAGACTCATTCACCGAGAACTTTATTACTCCTTTATGTCTCCATCTCTCGAGTCGAGCTCAATCTCTAACAGGTAGCAGGTACTGTTTGGTCTGGAGTGTATTTCTGTAAGGATGAAACTCTGTTTGCCAACATTATAACAAAATGGAAAAAATAACCTCAAGATCAAAAGAGCTCTTTTTCTTTTCTTTTCCTTTGGCTTTCCCCTAGGAAGCAACAACTATAAGAACAAAAATACAGTCATTGCTTTCAGAATAGAAAACTTCAAGATAACCCAATACCTACCCCAAATGTTGCCCTATGCTTTCAGCAATTGACCCTTATAATTCAATAGGTTAAAACATATATCATCCATTAAAAAGTTGAAAATTCGAATCATCACCTCTACATATTATTGAACCCGAAAAAAAAAACCCATAAAATATGGGTCGGTATGTGTTATTTGGGACAATAAGAGATAACTGAGGATCGATATCAGCACATTCATTTATCACCCACTCATGTTATTTTGTTACTGATAAATGATACCAATCTAGATTGTACTCTTTTTAGAACAACAATCACGTAGTTAACCAGTATTTACAGCAATTTAACCTAAAAGTAGGAACAGATGATTGAACCTCCGACCTCTATAGAATAAGTAAAATGTGTTGATCTATGCTCATATATATTGACATAGTCTAGAGTCGACCAAACAACAAGAGATTTAGATGTTAAAATTATTCAATATTTAGATGATGGCATCGTTTGTTGCTGATGTGGCATATTCATCAACTAAACTGCTGACATGTGGAAAAAGATGGATGCTGTGGTGACATGAGAAACTCAATAGTCAAGATTTGGAGTGACGTGGAAAAATAGACTAATAAAATATTGACACGTGGTAGCTGAGATACCCAATTAGCCCACGAGCCACAAGGTGCACATGAGATTGTGAACGTGGCGCGTGGTTCTCACTCGTTCCCACGTGCATGTGGGTATCGCCTTTCTGTACAAAAAAATTCAATTTTTTCATCTCACATTTCTATCAGCAAAAGTCTTCCTTTTTTTTCTTCTCTTTTTTCTAAATCTTATCATTTGGAAAAACAAAACATACATTTTTACATTTTCTAAACTTTAAATAAAGTGATCCATTTTGCATAATTGGCATCTCCGACTAAGGATAGTCGGGAGTTCAAACTCTCATATTTCTAATTTATTGTATTAAAAATATATATATATTCATTTTAATTTTATAACATAAATATACTTTTTTAAATTAAAATTACCATTCTCAGAGGTAGACTTGGATATTCTCCACAATCCCACCCTATTAAAATCTTTATTGCCCACCACGAAATCTAACCGGTTCGACATTAAATAAGGTATATCAACAGTAGTATCGAGGGATGAATTGGAAAAAAAGATATTTGTGAGAGCTTTATTTTTCAATTTCAAATGATTAGGGTCTTTTGTTAAAGTGTAGAAACACTTTTAAGAAATAGATTTGATGTTCAATCTTGAACTTTTATATAGATGGCTAAAAATTTACTCCCAACCCTTAAAAAGAAAGGGAAAAAAAGTTTAAATTTTTCCAAATTAGCACAAGCCCTCACGTGTAGATGCTCATGGTCTATTTTCACAAATCTTCCACGAAAATTCTCCCAATATAAAACCTGCAACGAAATAGTAATAATTTTAAATGAGGCTAAATTAGAATAAGAAATAATAACAGTTACTGCTTATATTTCTAAAAATTGAAAACAAAAAACAAGAAATAAAAACATTAACAAACGAGTGCCAGGTTTTATTGTTTCCAAATAGTTACCAAACATTTATATTTCTCGAAAATAAAAAACGAGAAATAAGAAACGGAAATGTTCGATAAACAGGCCCCTTACTGAAGGTGCAAGCAGCCATGGAATCAGAGAGAGGTAGAGGAGAAGCTGTGAAGGAAAGAATATAATGAAATCTGCATAAACATAAGAGAGTTGAAGAAGAAAGGCATAAAGGCCAGAGCTCAGGCTGATTTTTATAACACTATACAACAAAACTTTGGCACCACAGTTCCATTCTTCATCTACTACTATACATATAACTAATTACAGCACAAGTGTAACATCAAAATGTCAAACCTCAACTCTACCAGTCTTCTCGAGTTCTCGTTATCGGGTGAACTCGTTCTATGTACAATACTTGATACGTTGAGAGAGAGAGAGAGGGAATTAAACCTCTCTACTCCTTGATCAGCCATCCGCTCCTTTGCACGGCTGTGCGGGCGGTTTCCAGGCAGGTACCTTTCAGGTGAGAAGAACTTATAGGATGGTAAAGAATTCAGAACAAAAATGAACATCCATTTGCCAGCATTTCCTGTGTCTTCTTCCCTTTTGGAAAAAGCGTCATGCTGTAAAGGTCGTCGGGCAGACGGAGTACTAAACTTCGGGACTTTTACGATCAGACCACTAAGATTGATGGGTTGGTGAAGTTCTCTTGATGCTGCATTTGTTTCTGGGCAGCCTTTACAGCTGCAACTCTTGCTGCGTTTGCTGCTCTATTAGCAGCAGCTACAGCTTTGTTAACTCTTTCGTCCACCCTTCCTGCATCGAAGGCTCTCTGAGCAGTTCTTCTTGCTTCCTGCTCCAGTGACAACAGTACTCGGTTAAGATAATCGCCACTAAGAATTGTGTTTTTTCTATTTCTATATCTAATCATTGAAATGCCATCAGATTATGGAAAGGTGAATCATGTTAGTCGCTTGGTGTGTTTAAGAGTAGCATAAACTTTGAATCTATGCACTGAAAAAAGTCTGCAGGTGTTTCGACTAATTCCGGTAGCTATCAGCCATTTTACTACCTCAGACACATCATTAAGCTCCACGACCTGAAATACATGGTGCGTGTTTACCCCTAAGCAGATAGATCATCACATCCAGCGAAAGAAACGACATAGAAATGTCCCTTTTAAAGTGTAAAGCTCATCCACAGCGAGAAAGGTAATCTCGAGAAGAGCTTGTTCTATGCAGCAATATTCACATTCGAGAGTCGATGTCGTGATGGTGTACAAAATGACTAAACAAAAGTTCAACTTACAACACAAAGAAAAGCTTGCAGTATTCTTGACAAGAAGATATACTAAAAACTTTACCTGGACTGCAGCGAAAACTTTGGCTTGGCTGACAGCATAAGAAGACCCTGGATGGCTATTTTCTAGACTGGGAACATCAAGAATCCCATTTTGCCAATGACCAGATTGGGTTTCTCCATTCCTAAAAGTGTACATTCCAAGCCCTTGCCTATTTGCTTCATGCCAAGCTCCCTCGTAACGATGTCCATTGCCGAACCGATAAACTCCAAAACCGTGCATCCTGTCTGCAAAATACTCTCCTGCATACGTGTCTCCATTTCTGCATTGTCAGATATTATAAAAGTCATCAACCGCCTGTAGCTTCAAATTTCTTAAAAATCACATGCATAAATTTCAACGCTCGTAATAACAAATGGGAAACATTTTGATATCAACGCTATGCCTCTTCCATTCACCATCTTCAAACTAGAGACAATAGATAATTCTCCAGAATACTGTAATATAAGCTCATCAATTCAAGAATTATCGACAACTTATTAAACTCATCTCTTGTGAACAAAAGAGACCAACACCCCACCACTTCGGCGATCCCAAACACCATTTCCAAATTAGAGAAGAAAGATAATATGAACTTACCTTTTTTTCAAGTGACGAATAACTGATTCACATTTGTCCCTTGTGGACAATCTAGGGAGGAGTTCTTACTCCTTAGATGGAAAAGATCTACCATAGTCTTCTAATAAGTTTTCACTTCAAATTTATTTCACTATCAAAGCCAAAATCGCAAACAAACAAAACCAAGTCATAAGAAAACACACTAAGATATGAACACTAGGCCACTTAACTTAAGCATTGCTCAATTGGTTAGCACGTATAACATCAACCTAAATGTCAGAAATTCGAATTTCCATCCCTACGTGCTGTTGAACTCAAGAACACTAGGCCACTTCCAAACCCTTCTTCAAGAAGAGAGATAACTCACTCTCCAAACCCATAGATCACAGATGAAGTAAACAGAAAACTTCGAACAAAAGCATAACACGAAATGATTCTCAAGATTCAAGACCTGAAATTTTTTTTACCTAAAATGGTAGTGACCCAATCCATGTTTGACACCCCACTTGAACTCCCCAACATAGCGGCTCCCATCTTGACAAGTATGAACTCCACAGCCATGGCACTGCCCATTAGACCACTCCCCAGCATAGACATCCCCTGTGTAGAATCTGTAAATCCCAATTCCATGCCTTAAGCCTTGCCTGTACTGGCCCCGGTACCTGCTGCCTTTCGCCCATGTCTCTACGCCATACCCATCATACTTCTCGTCAATCCAATCGCCTTCGTACCTCCCACTCATGTGGTAGTGGTAAACGCCGCTCCCCGAGCACCTCCCTTTGTGAAACTCCCCCTCGTAAACATCGCCATTACTGTAAACCTTCACCCAAGAACCCGACGCCATCCGTTTCTCCGATTTGGGCTTCGATCCGATCGACCACCGAACATTCGAAGCAGCCTTCGTCGCAGCGGAAGACGAGAACGGGTTAACTGGTGACGATCGGACCAGAAACAGACGAATCGAAGAGGGGAGGCGAGGGACTGCAAGATTCAGGAAAAACAAAGCGGCGATTGAGAACAACAGTACGACGAAGAACTTGAGAGCAACCGAGCGACGAGGGTTCGAGAGAAAGAAGTAAACGAAGGGCAAAGAGAGGAGGATCAGTAAACGCAAGTGAACTCGGAGCAACTCGCCACAGCGGAAATGGCGAAAGATTTGAGAAGCCAGCGATTTCTTCGGGAATCGCGATAGCAGAGAAGTGGATTGGGTCATGGCAAACCCTTCGTAGAACACCGGGAGAAGCTTACACAACGCCATAGACGGGCAAATCGAAATGGGTTCTTCATGAACGGATTCTCAGAGTCGATTATCAATCTTGAATTCAGAAACAGACGATTCTGCTTCTGGGTTCGATGATTGGAGAAGAAATTTGTGTCTTCTGGGTTTGTCAGGAATCGAAGCCTCTGGATTTGCAGCTGTGGCTTCTTCTTCTACTTCTTGATTTCGGTGGGAACGCCATTGGCAAAAGGACTGCAAAAAGGGTGTGCAATTTTGAAGAAAATGGTATCGCTGGTTTTGTATTTGAGAAGACGAAACCAGATGATGCGAAAAACAGTGACCTCTTTTGTATTTACTGAAAATGCCATTACCCTTTTTGGATTTTTATATACTTTTGGTTTTTTTTTTCTTATTAGAACATTAAAGCGAGGATTGGATTTTTATAATTAATATATGTTTTTAATTTGTGCAGCATGAGTTTGATTTATTTAGTCTCTGTACTTTGGTAAATTTTTAAGGTGTTCCTGTAGTTCTCGATCTCTTAATTTTTTATTTTGTGTTTAATAAGTATTTTGTCGTAATCTTAGTTAAAATATCATTTTGGTTTCTATATTTTTAGTTTTTGCTCATTTTGGTCTTGTACTTTTAAAATATTCGTTTTTGGATAAACTTTCAACTTTTATCTATTTTAGTCGTCGTAAGCATTTGTTTTTATCTCTACATTTTATCTTTTATCTCATTTTATTTTATCACAATTTCAACGCAACACTATATTTAATATATTTCTTGAACTTAACCACAACTTTATATCAAAGGGGTTTCGTTGGGTATAGAATTTGTGTTAAAATTTGTAAATAATGATCAAAATGATTAATTTTTTAAAGTACAAAAATTAAAACGAATGTTTTGAAAGCAAGGAGACTAAAATGAACCAAAATTATTTTAACCTAATTTTTTGAACTAGAAGAACTAAATAGTAGATGTAACTCTAAACCTTGGATGTTTTTTTTAGCTCAATAAATTCAAAGATAGGAGATAAAATTTTCACTTTTAAGAAAGGTAAAGGTATCTTAACTAAATTATGACCTAATTTGCGAGTTTTTAAGTGAATTTTAAAAGGTAAAAAAAAATGTGTTTTTTAAAAAAATTATAATGTTTGATTATTCAGCCAAAAGTAATTTTTAAAAATTAAAAAAAAAAAAACTAAAAGCACTTCAAAGTGCCTCCCAAAAAATGCTTGCAGGGCTTATGTTTAAAAACTCTTATTTTTTTGTTTTTCATTTCAAAAAATAAATATGAAAAACTTAAAATCGTTTCTTTTTTTTAAAATTTACATAAAATTTCAAACTCATTTTGAAATTCAAGAAGCTAGAAACTAAAAACCAAAAACAAAAATCAAAAAATGAAATAGTTATCAAACGGGTCCTAAATTTATATATAGAATAATGTTATAACTTAATTAATAAAATATATTTTGAAGTAAAATCGCTTAATAAAATTTAACCATAAAGTTAAACACTTAAAAAAGAAAAAGGTAAAATTGAACTCTTGGTCACTAAAAAATAACATTAAAGACGAAATTATTTATTAAGAAAATGAAAAGAGAGATTACAACTTTGTGTTAAGAACTAAAAAAAATCTTCCAACAGATTTCAACTATATTTCTTTATAATTTTTTATGGCCGTCTAAACTATACTTTATGTCTTTCAAAAAAAAAATAATAATAATAATAAAATACTTTATATGATAGATTTTTTTAAGCCTCCAAGGAATTGTCAAAATACATGATTCAAAAAATAAAAATCTTCAAAAATTGATTTATCCTTCAATTTAAATTCTATGTTGGTTTTTGAACTTTTAAGATTTTGTCCATTTTAGTAGTGTATTTTTAGAATATCTATTTTAATTTATGTACTATATTTGTAAAATTCAATCACAAATTAAACACTGTGAGATCCTTCTAATAAGAAATTTATTGTGTAATATTGTACTAAAAAATTAGATTAAAAAATGGATCAACTTACTTAAATCAATAAATTTTAAAAGTACATGAACAAAAATAGACAGGTTAAAAGTACAATATCAAATTGGATAAATGTCTCAAAAAAATATATCAAATTAGATAAATGTTGAAAAGGATAGAAATTGAAATACACATTTCCAAAGTACAAATATAAGAAAGTACAATAATCAAAATAGTATTTATAAATTTATAAATTGATATTGCACATAATGAAGAGTGGATTTAATGAAACGATTTTTTTTAGTACAACATATGTTAATTATCGTTGAACTATGCTCGTCTTTCACATTCTGAGAAACGATTGTATGTTGCTAAAATTTATTTAATGAATATGCTGCATCAACTCTCAATTAATAAGTTAAAATATAAAGCTTAATAAAACGTTTAATTAAAACTTTTCACGAATTAACTAAAATCAATATTTGAACTAATAAGATTAAATTTATAGTTAAAAAAAACACTCAAAAATAGATTTTACTTTCTTTTTTCTTTTTAAGCTTAAATATTATTTTGATTCCTATACTAATTTTCGTTTTTAGTTCCTATATTTTTAATTTTTGTTCATTTTAGTCTTTATACTTTCAAAATGTTCATTTTGCTCCCTATACCATGGAAAAAAAAACTATTTTGGTCTTTTTATTTTTATTTTTATCTCATTTATTTCGTTTAAAATTTTAACATGATACTTCACGTCATCTCATTAATTTTTTTGAAATATAACTATAGATTTGTATTAAAAAGGTCAAATGGTTGCTACTCCTTAAAATGACTGGAATCAAAACAACTACTGGAAAGTCTATAGACTAAAATGAACAAAAAAAAAATGTTTTTAGAATATAGTGACAAAAATAATATATACCAAAAAAATATTTAAAACTTTCTTTTTAAATTGTCATGATTTTAAATTTGGTAGGTTGTATCTATCTCTTTCTAGAGAGATTTTGAGAAAGATTGATGTATCTTTTTATTATGAGAGAGATAACATTGTTTTTATTTTTCTTTTTCTAATAATGAGGTTTATAAAGATATTTAAAAAGAAAAAAGCACAAAAAAGATGGATCTTATTATAAAATTGGAAATTGAAATGTTAATTCTTATCCACTTTATGTTCTCATGGCCAACCTTCCTCCACACTATTGTCCTTGTCATCTCCTCATCTTTCTCCTTATCCAATCATCCAATCCAATAATTTTATTTTTTTTATTAAAATAAAAATTTATTATTTGTTTAGTCATAATTCTATTATTCAGAATATTCTAGTTCATCATTTTGAGTTTTGACATAACATCACATTATAATATCAATAATAATGTTCATAATTTGCTTCATGGTGTCAATTTTGTTGTATTGATTTTTATATAGAAATTGAAATTTAAAAATTATTGAAGGTGTATTTGATAATGATTTTGTATGTTAATAATTTGCTTGGTCTCATCAATTTTATATTGATTGATTGATACATAGAAATTGGTATTAAAAAATGGCTGATAAACTTGTTTATTAAGGATTTCTTTGTTATGTGATCTATTAGAAAACTATGTTTTTAAAATTGTAAATTTAAATTTGTACAAAAAATTATATGAAAGGATTTATTAAAAAACCTTAAAATAAGAAGATGGGAAATTAGGTTCAATTTCTATTTTGATTATTGGACTTTTATATTTATTTCACTTTAATCTCTAAGTTTTAGAACATTATGTTATAGATCCTTAACTTTCAATATTTTGCCAATATAAATACATTGAGGTTGAAGGTTCAAATCCTCGTATCTCTACCTCTATTGTTCTCACAAAATAAAAAAATAAAGAATAAAAAAAACTTTTAGATATTTTATTGGTTAATGTACTTTACTTCATTTTAGTCAATGTACTTTCAAAATGTATCTTGGTTCATATACTTTAAAAAGTGAATTTAATTTTATTTTTAAAATTATTTATTCTATCACAATTTCAAGTGAATTTAATTTAATTTTTAAAATTATTTATTCTATCACAATTTCAACACAATACTGCACTCAATATATTTATTGAAATGTAACATTGTGTTTATATTAAATAATTTTCGTTATACGTAGAATTTGCATAAAAAGTTTAAAAATAGAGATCAAAATTATCACTTTTAAAATACATGGACCAAAACGAACATTAGATAACATTTTAAAAGTACAGTAACCAGAATAAATAACTGAAATAGTATTTTAACCTATTTTCTTTTAGTCCATAAATTTCACGTAAAAAAACTATTTTAAACATTGTGATTAAATATTCATTAGTTGTGTAATAAAAAAAATTAAAAGTTGCTCTGAAATCCTTATATATAGTTTCAAATACTTGTCTATATCGAAAGATTGGAGTTTCAAACCCACTCCACACACCAAAATTGAAAACAAAAAAAATCCATTGAATGAAAAATCTTTCAACTAACAACTTCCTTAAGTCCCAAATTTTTACATTAAATTCAATTATGAAAATTGAAATCGAACCTCTAATCTTTTGAACTATGTCTAAGATGACAACTTCTATAATATTTGATCTAATGGAGTGGAAGAAAACACATAAACAAACTCCAAAGTCAAATTTGGAGTGATTTTATAACATTATCAATAAATTAATGGTTACAAAAGATTGCTTCAAAGTTACTCCATAGTTTTTTTGGTATGCGGACTTACCTTTTTTTTTTTCATATTTTCTCATATCTTTTATCTTGGTTTTCGGTTTATGAGTCATCTCCGAGAATTTGATTGGCAATCATGCATATTATTTCAAACTACCTTTTATTGGACAAAATACATCAAAGAAATTTGGACACTTCAGAGTTTGGTGAGAGATTCAAGGGATAGCAAAGTTCGCCCAATCAACACGTGCCAGTGATGAATAGAACGGGGAATTCTCGTTTTGGGAGGAGGTCGATAGAGATGGAAAATTATTTTTCATCTTGGTTTCGTGGATAGAGACGAAAATGCTCTCTTCCTATTACTTCAATAGTAATGTCTAATGCACACCATTATCAATTCAATTCAATGAGTTAAAAAGGCAAATATTCTCGACTAAACGGTCAGAATTTTAAAAACATTTTCCCACCATATCTCATATGGTTTAAGTCATACCAAAAACCTCCTTAAAAAGGTCGGAGGTTCGAATTCCAGCCTCCGCACCTGGTGTACTTTAAAAAAAATCAAACCATTATCCCTAGATTTTGATTTTATGTTTTTCAGAAAGACAAGAAATAAGAAATTATCAACTATATTTGATTTTTTTTTTATTTTTTAAAGGAAGAAAATTAAAAACCAAAAATCAAAGCAAAAGACATTACAGTGCCTAAGAAACTTGAGATAAAACGAACAGAAAGTTCAAATTTTAATTTTTAGGCCCTTCAAAATGTAACAAGAAATTGTCTCAATTAAAATTATGACAGAAAATACCAACTAACACCAAAAACAAAAAAAAAATAAATATATAAAATATCAAGTTTAATCAACAATCATCATGATGAGCTTAAAAGTTGGCTGAGGTCCAATAATTATCTCAATATTCACAATATTTAGCAGCAAGTTTTAAAATACAAAAATATTCATCATACAGCAAAAACATGAGTAGAACTGCAAGATTTCAGTTGAGCCAGATGCCAATACCAGGAAGCTGATTTCCTCCATATCAATTTGATTAGAATTTTCACTCTTATCCATTTGAGTAAACTTTTTTCTTCTGTGAGAAATAAAAGCTAAAGGACTTGCAAAGTTAATGCCAAACTAAATACCTGGAAGGAGATCTCGTGGAGTATGGCATAAAATTATCACCGGATCGTTCAGCAGAGTCCGTTAATTCCATCCATCGTTTCGATATGGATCACCGTCAACTTGTTTCCCCGCCCATTCATCGATTCGTTTTTCCAGTTCTGCGATCTGAATAAGAATTGAGAGTTTGTAATAAATAAAACAAAAGATATCATAATCAGTGCAAGAAAGATTAAGCAAACAATTCTAATTTTGACATGTAAACAAAAGATAAAAATGTCTCGAGTGAAAGACTCATCTGATGCCAATAGAATTTAGCGGTATATAACAGAAAGAGAATCCCTCAACTTGTAACCTTCTCTATGCGCCAAAAAATCAAATTGAGCACGATTTTAACTCTATGGAAAGCGGTTTGATAAGAATTTGAATTCTACACTCCAGTTATAGAAGAAAGACTTGTCATTATTAATGTACTTCCATGCTTCATCAAGCCACCCTAGAAAGTTTTTGAGGTTATAAAATCCAAGAGGGCAGAAGGACCTTAACGATACACGTGCCAATTTAATGTAAAAAGACTTTACGGTCAGATAAAAGGAACTGCACCTTCCATCCCCTTTAATCTTCGTCGAAGTATTTCTCCTCGGCATCATCATTGGCTTCCCTCAGCCAGTGATCATCCAAGGTCTCGTCATTGTCTATTTTTGAGTAATCTAAATGTTCATTGTCTTCTCCCAACAAAAATTTCTGATGCATGATGTATGTGAATTGGTCCATCTGATCTTGCATATCTGCTTCAGATAAAGTTGCTCCAAGATTAGACCCGCCCTCGGCAGCATCACTATTGTCAGTTGCTGATTTTTCATTCTGAGTATCCATGGCTGCAGATATCTACAAGTGAAAGCATCAAATATCAAACAACTCACTATAAAATATAATTTGGAGCAAATTATATCAAACAACTCACTATCTAATTTGGAGCAAATTAGATCCCCGGCAGATCAAAATATATTCAGATGCTTTATTCTGATCAGTCCATAATGATCAGATATACGAAACATGAATATCTTAAGAAATCTACAAGCATTAAAACCATATGATAATAGCTAAATAGATAGGACATGATTATGAATAAGGAAAAAACGAAAGTGCACACCACTTTAGTTTTAATTATTGAAGCCATAATAAAAGGAAGGAATGCATATAAGAATAATCTAAAAACCTATCGAACAAGTCAATCAGAAGTAGATGTTAATCGAACTAATTCATACAAAGTTATTTTAAAGGGAACGAAAACATTGAAGATGACATGAAATTACCTCCATGGAATGAGCAGCATTAGCAGGCTCGTTACCTTTCCTCTCCTCCCCTTCTTCCTCCTCCTCCTCCTCCTCCTCCTCCTCTTCTTCTTCTTCTTCTTCTTCTTCTCCATTTTCTTGGTTTACATCATTACCTATCAAGTCCCTCTCAGCAACACCTAACCTGCGTTGTTCTCCTCTGATCTTTGCAACCAACATTGCTTCCTCTGATCTCCTCATCAGCGTCTCAGACCATCGCTCCCCTGGTCTTGCCATTCCTCGACCACTTGGATCCTGAAACTTCCCTACATACTCATGATGCAAAAATGGCTCTCTCTCCCTCATTGCATCCTCCGAGAAGTACTGGCCATCACATATCAATTTATTCAGATAGGCTCGTCTTCTATTCTTCACAATAACTGACCTAGAGTGTAGTTCATCTGATGTCGGACTCTTTATACTTCGAAGGTGCTTTAAATGCCAATTTATCTCATAATCATCCTTAAGAGTATCAAACTCATGGAGCTCATTGGATGTCAACTGTGATCCATATCGTTCTACATCAATCAAATTTGGTGGTGCAACATACCTTAGAATACTTGAAATGTACAGAGAGAGCCAGCATCCAAGGAGTAAAATCAAAATAGTTACCAAAAAAGTTTCTACATATTATGAATCAACTTCAAATGAAGCCCAAAGACGTTTTCCTCCTTCACTTCCAAGTGTGGAACTCAAACAAGATATTCAATTCTTTCTTCTTACGCCTAGGACACCATAAATATAATTATGAACCATGAACAAAGAAAGATTATTTCAAAAACTAATCAATGATGACCCTCCATGGATTCGTCTATATAAGCTGCATAGCTTACAAGATGTGAAACAAAATACCTAAACGGAAATTTCTTTATAAAGAAATAATAGTTGTGGTAAAGCATCGAAGCTTGTTCCTTCCTCTAAACCATAGAACACCCAGACACGCACATCAATAAGTTAAATACACTACTATTTTACATCTTACGAGTGTTGATAAATTGGGATTCATTATTTCATTCTTCAACTCGGAAAGATGACAACCAAAAATATCAAAATAAATAAACAAACTACAGAGCTCACTGTTACCATGTAACTAATTTCATCTTCTCCTCCATTATCCTGGGAGCTAAATTGAACCATAGGACTCGGGATTCTAATACTTTCCAGTAAATCTCCTGACTAGAACGCGTACCAAATACGAGCATAAAACTACTAATTCTTTTACCTAAATTTTATCCCTTGCATATTTCAAGCGACAGAAATATAATCTAGATTTTCAATTCGACAAATTAAGCTAGGGCGCTTTAACTTCAGTATAACAATCAACATATACAACACAAATCCATACCAAAAATTACAAAAATCCAGAGTTTAATAGGGACACAGACCTAAAAACACAGCGGCATCGCGAGAAAGGAGGTCGAGTAGAATGGCCTTGCGCTGGGATGGATTTGTGGCAGTGGATTGAAGCGCGCGAGGAAAGTAAAGATCCTCCTGCAATGAAAGCCTCTCCGATAAGCAATCCATGGCTTCGCCACTCAATCTTTTCGCCGTCGCCGTCGCCGTCGTCGTTTCCATCGTCTTCTCTCGTTCTCGGCGCCGTCTCTTCCCCCGTAAAAGACCCTCGGCCTCTGCCGGCTCAGTCGGTGATGAGCAAAGGGGCGAAACACGTGAGAAGCACGTGGTAATAAAGTCCGATAACGTTTCCGGTTCGGGATGTGTTTGGCACGTCGGTTACTGTATCCCTAGTCGGAGCCAAGTCGCACTTGGAGCGGTTCTGTTACAAATTTGGTTCGGTTTTTACATTGGTTTGGTTCGATTTCCTTTTTTTTGGTTTTTTTTCAGCTTTGGGTTTTTCAGGTCATATTAATTTGCCCTTTTTAATTAAACATTTAAATTTCAGGTAGTTTTTAGTTGAATAGACAACTTGTTCACATTTTTTTCCCATTTTAACCCCATAATTATTATGTTACAAATCTAACCATTATGGATGACTCGTTGTTCAAAAAGACTTAGAATAATTAAGAGTGAGTGGGTTTAAACCTCATAATGGCCACCTACTTTATATCGTGATATTACTCGAAGTGCACGTCAGCTGATCAGTACACTCACGGATATGGGGTATCAAAAGAATTATGCTACAAATCGAATAAGATATCTATTGTCATCTCATAGTTTGATCTTCATCTCCAAATTTGTTGAACTAGAAAAATCATGCTAAATTAAAGAGTATTTTATGAAAAAATAATTATATATTTATCAATGTGATTGAATCAATTTTTATAACACAAATCCACCTTATACACATCTCTATCATGATTCATCTCTCCCGTCATAATTTGAGAGTTGAATTTAAAAAATTACTCATTTAATAAAATAAAAATTAAGTAAAATATAGACTTGAATATTTAAAAAATTATTACTAGATGAGTTTATCAACCATGATTTTAAGTGTAGTGGTGTTAACTTTTTACCTTTGACCTTATAAAATAAAAAGCAATGATAAAAAATAAAATTATTATCAGCTAAAACAAATATAGTTCCAAATATTTTTAAGACACGTGTGATATAATTCTAAATATTGTTGGATCAATCTCCTCTCCCATAATTATTGAACTTAGGAAAAAATACATTAAACAATCCACAGTTTGTTAAACTTCCACAACCCACATGCTAAATTTTCTACCAAAATTTTGAATTATTTTTTATTTGCATGTTTTAATCTGTACAAATCATATTTAGGTACTTAAAACTTTTTTATCCTAAACTTTTAAAAGATAAATTTTAGTCCTTTAACATTAAAAAGAAAATTAATTATTTACCCGTAAATTTTCGAAATATATATTTTAGTCCCTAAACTTTAAAAAATAACAATTTTGGTCATTGTTTAGATTATTTTTCACCTAAAGTTCTCTTATCCAATACTCTATTTCAACCTATATAGTTACGCTCACGTCAACACATTAGTACTCAACTCGAAGTTATGTTATGAATTTGTTAAAAGTAAAATAAAACTTTTCTAAAATTTCTAAGATTAAAATAGACATTTTGAAAAATATTTACCGAAATAAACCACTTGAAAGTTTATAAGTTAAAATCAATATTTTAAAAGTTAAAAGAATTAAAATGAGAGTATTTATGACATAATGATTATAATTTAAACAAAAAGTGTGAAACATGAAATCTAGAATTATTTTGTAATTATTTTTTTTCTACTTTTTCTTCGTAATTAACAAGGTAAGATATACACAAATCTCAAACTAAAGACAGGAACGTTATAAAGGATAAGTATTTTAACTCGTCAAGACTAGGTCAAAATGAGACTTATATGGCTCTCCTTTTTGTACCTTCTTTTTTTATTTCTTCTTTATAATAATAATAACAACCCACAAAAATTTTCAATGAGTATTTACAAATTCAATAGTATTTCTCAAACTCTACACTTCAACATTTTTCTTTCTTTGTGTGGGGAAGGGAAGGGAAGGGAAGAAAAGAACACCATATAAAATTGGCTTGAATCATCAAAACTCAAATTTTCTTTCTTGTTTTCCTGTTCTTTCCTTCCATCCGAACACCCAGCTTCCAAGAAAACACAACCATAGCTTCTTATGTGGCAATCTTATGTGGCAATCTCATCCACCTCAGAATTAAACACAAAACTTGGAAAAGTGGTTGTTATGTCCCTACCCAAAAAAAAAAAAGGATCAAGAATTTTGAAGGTAATAATATTATGTTGCTTGAAAGCAAAGATAAATATGCTTTTTCCTTACCTCAGGTATGGAAGGGTCATGACTTTCAACAATGATGGATTCTTGGAAACGAAATTTTGCCATTCAATCTTGTCTATCTTCCCATCTTGGTTCACATCAGCCTCCATGAAAGTCTGTCCACAAATATTAAGAAGCAGCAGAAAAATTCCATGAGATAAAAAGGTGATGGCGACACGACATGAAACAGGTATCGAGTTCTAGGATCTCGTTCTACTGGCTACAACTACACCATGGTGCAAACTAAATTCTGTTTTTTTCTTAAATGAATAATTAGCTGACATAAGAGTATGATTTATAAACTCGCAAACTACAGGGGCGTCGGAAGCTATTCCTAAAACGCGAGGTACAATTGAAAAATAAACCGACCTTAAGGGTGCAATTTGCAATCATCCCTCACGAAAACAAGTTGTGCACCGCTCGGGTAGAGTTAAAAAACATCTAGGTGCAAGGATTCAAACTTCTAACCTTTTAGTCAATAATATACGCCTTAACCAATTGAGTTATACTCAGGGAGTGGCTAGAATCGATCAAAATTGATCGAAGGTATTCAGATTAACTCTATGGTAGGACATTGGCGATACCAACAGACTAGTTGAAGTTACTATATTCCAAAGATCAAGCTACTAAAGAAGGAATCACTTGTTCATTTAACATATATTCCACGGTTCATCAATGACTCTAGAAGCCATTAACCAGTCAGTCGTAGCCATAAGGCTCGACATCTCAACTTTTTATTTCACTAGTTCAATTTTTTTTACTCTTAAAGTTCAGAAATTCAACCCAAACTTGTTTCAGCAAATACCTAGTTGGCAAATTTGCTTAAGTGGCCACATACCACAGGAAAGTCAAAGAACAAATTAAAACCTTAATCATCCTGAAATTTATCTACGGTAGACCTCACCTTATCGAGTATTATCTCAATTGTCTCATCAGCCAACTTCATCTCAGATTCACAGAGAAGGGCGATTAGCATTTGCTTCACCTGCCACAGTCAATACATCTGAAAGTTCTTATGAAGGTAACCATGAAAAATCATCCACAAAAAAAGGCACAACTCTCCCATTCCAGCAGCCAACAAATTATACAAGTGAAAGTGGAAGAAAAACTAGTTGAAAGCATTTTAAAGATTAAATCAATATCCCAGGTTCTTCTTTTCTGAATTTGAAAACTTTTTCTCATAGGCTACGGGTGGTCGGAACTGTATTAAGGTCAGCTATCCCCTATTGGAATCCAAATGTAATAACACATCTCAATTTGTTCAATAACGATAAATGAAATTCAAAGGGAAAGGAAAAATTTTTGTCTACATCTTTAAAGTTACATGAGAACAGCATACCTCTTGGCGCTCAATGAATCCAGTGTTATCCAAATCATAAAGCTTAAACGAAACTGTAAAGTAAGTAAATAACAAGCATCAGCCATATGAAAATCAAAGAAAGAAGTCAAGTCATAAGACATAGGTGAGGTTATATTATGTCATATCCTGCACACTTACATTCAATCTTGGCTTCCTGCGGAGCATTTGGATGAAAGACATTCAACGATCTTACGAAGTCACCAAAATCAATGAATCCCTTTTGCTGAACATCAAACAGATCGAAGAGCTGCATACGAAAGGATCGTACCTTAAAACATGCTGATAAGACAGGTTGGTTCAAACAAATGGTAAAAATATATCAATCAATAAGAACCAGGCATCATTAAGGATGCGAGAAGTTATTTGATTCACAACCAAAATGTTACTAGAAACGGATTACAATGCAAATATCCCAAAAAATTCATTTGAAGATCACTTTTTCTGGATGTAAATACGTCAATTGGATAAATCTAATTAAAATGAATAGCTGACAGTGAAACTTTTGATGAGTGATTTAAGGATGGTAGATTATAAATATTTTACCCGATTTGCGAAAAGATTTTCCTTCTTTCTGTTCTTGAAAATAGCCAGCTGAAATTCTTCCTGCAGATAGAACAAAACCATTACACAGAACATCTTCAAATTACTATTGCAAAGAATAACACATGTTCAACAAAACCACAGCATAAATCAATGGCATTATCCCTCTGCCATACATGTAGTAATGGACACAAAAGATGAGACAACGGCAATTATACAGCTAAAAGAATGAGCAACATTTCCACACATACATATAACATGGATTAAATTGTGACAACAAATAAATATAATGAAGTTTGTAATTTGAAGAAGGAAAAAATGAGATAGTATTAACTATTAAGGCTATTCAACTGTGCAATAGCCCAGAGTTACATATTTTAAGAGGAATATAACTKTCAGMAAKACGTTGGGYTGCCAATTCCTTTTGAATTCAAATGTGGATTCATTGAACACTATCGATCCAAATAGTTATTACATTTTCATTTTAATTTTAATCCAAAAGATATCAGTTCAAAAAGGCTTTTTATCATTTGAAATGTAAAAGAACACACACATCAAGAGATGGATAACACCAGCATGGAATTCATAAGTCATAACAGGAACAAATACCTTGTTTATTAAACCATCGTCTATGACAGAACTGCTGATGCTCTTGTACAGCTCAAACAATGCTTCAACTTCACTTACACTAACTGTGAGAGCAAGAATCAAACACACAAAAAGTTATGAATATATGAGAGGAATTTAGACAGATATGAAACAGATAGATAGATAGAACAGGATGGGAGAGGTTATATGCAAGTAAGCAAAATGTTGGGGTCTAGTAATTTTGAAATGCAGTAACTTGGTGGCATAGAAAAAAGACTTAATAGTAATGGCCCACATGATCTGGTCAAAAATTTAGTTTATGAAATATAGAATGTCTCCCTAGACGAGCTTACAGAGTCTCTAGAAGGTTGGTATTTTAAAGGGAAGGCTAAGATTCTGTGGAATTGTATAGCGAGTCTTTTTGTGATAGTGTTCCAACCATTGTGAATTCTTCAATTAATGATTACTAACAATTCGAAAGCTCTACTAATCTTTGGATAGGTCTTTGGATGAGGGTTATCTCCACCCTGGATCCTAGGCTATATTCTCTTTGGCTTATTTTCTGCTAAAAAGAAAACTAAAGCTGAAATATAGAATGTCAGAACTCAGGGAACATAAACAGTGCACAACTTACATGCTGTTTGTGAAGCGAGATATATAGGATCCTCATATCCTGGATATTGTCTGCTTCCTTTTGACTGAATACAGCCCATTTACTGAAGACGACGATCGATATCTTACAAAGAGCGCCTTGGCTTCACTACAATATTTTATCAAAACCATCATAACCTTTACTACAGTACAGACCCAGACACAAGCACACCAAGCAAATCAATGAGCAAATTAACTTAAAAGAAAGTAAAAAACAATAAAATGAACTGCATTAACAAATTTTCCAGTGGGAAGGGGAAGAAAATTGCTTGTTTTAATTCTCAGGGACTAGAAAATGACAATAGAGAATTAAATATAACCTTTACTTATCTAGAGTTGGAAACTTGACTTCCTAACAAAAGCAGAATGATAAACCATAAAATGGTAAACGAAAAAAAAAAATTAAAGGGCCTCCTCCAAAAGATATCCAAATCTCAACTCAACGACCGACAGAATGTGTAAGAACGAAGACAAAAGTCTCCCACTGAAGAGTAAAAGATGGGCATTAGGCTGAACTATTTAGTCAGAAATCAGATACAAAACAATAAGAGATCCATTCCTCTTTCTTTCATCCCCTCATTTCTTTCCGCTTTACATCAAAAAACAGAGATTCATAAATTCTTATTAAACCCCATAAAGAAACCAAATCCAATTACCAGAGAAACCGTAAATTACATCAAATTTCCTCTCTCCCACCAAAACAAGAACGCATTAGACAAACCCAACAGAGAAAAACCCAGAAAAAGCAGAAGAACCCAGAAGAAAAAGTAACTCACCGGTAAAGTATTCGGCCCCAAAATCACAAAAACTAGCGAAATTTGTTGCGGATCGAATCGAAGGGCGGAAAATTGAAGATGGCTAAAAATCTCCCGTCGATTTTTCCAACAGAGCAAATGGGAACAGCGATGATTGAAGAAGCGCCATTTGGGTGAGAGTGAGTGGGAGAGAGAGCGCCAAAAGCAACACAAGATTACAGGAAAAATGAGATTTCATGAGAGACGGAGAAAGAAAGTGGAATTCATGGCCGAATTAAAAAGGAAACTGAAAGAGACCCCGTGACCCTGAGCATGGGCTATCCCAGCATATTCGTTGCTTCCAATTCTTAATTATAAATTAAATCAAAAATTAATTTTTTTTAATTAATTAATTATGCTTCAAAATTAGCTTTAACAATGTTTAATTTAAATATTTAATACATCCATCGATAATATATACTATATAATAATAATACGTTGAAAAACTTTATGTTTTCATTTGTGCTTGTTTTTTATATAATTTATACTTCCTAATTTGCCCTTTACTTTTCTTGATGGAAGGATATCCCTTTCAGGTTTAAATTTGGTTTTTTTTTTTAAATAGTTGGAAAATAAAAACAACTTTTTTGGCGTGTGGAAGAATGGAAGCTTAGAAAATAAGATCTTTCTTGAAAATTTGGAGGTACATAAAGGCCGAACTTCATACTTAACCGAGAGGCCAACCAATAAACTCCATTTGATTAAAGGTCTCACTTAACTCCGACCTCGTGTACCTAACAAGTCGATCTATGACAACATATTTTTCGACGAACATAACTGACGGTTAGATGGCTTTGTCGGATCTCAACCCTATAATATATAGAACCTCAATCTAACATCATGTATGTAATCTATGCTTGATCTTAACTTGAGTGTTAGAGTGTTTGTTTTTATTGTGTAGGTCTTTCTCACCGAGTGGATACTCAAGCTCGACCCAGTACTTGATATTTGATGATTTCAAACTATATCAAAATTGACCATAAACAATGATGATATTTAATAATTGCGTCCTAGTAGTTTAAAAATTGTAACAGTTTAATTTATATTGTGAAAAATCTGATTAAGATGAGGTATCCGGTATCAATTTTTATTAGGTAACAATTTAATCTCTATATTTTATAAAGATATTTGGTCATGATAACCTGAACATAGTTCAATTGATTAAGATATATGCCTATGGATCGAAAGATCGGAGGTTCGAAGTCTTACTCTCACATGTTGCTGTTGAAATCAAAAATTATAAATCTGAAAGCACTCATAAAATGTATTTTCTAACCGTTTTTGTGCGGACTAAAATATATTATTTATTATATAAAATCTTATGTTACAATTTTATTTTCAAAATGTTTTAATATTTATGTTTATGTATATTTTATTTGGTTTTTAGTTTTTAGTTTGGAAGAATTATGCTCTTTTCACAAGAGGTATTTGAATTTTTTGGTCAGATTTAAAAAACAAAACGACGTCTTTAAAAACCTTTTTTTTTTTAGTTTTCAAATTTTCATTTAGATTTTTAAAAAGTAAATAACAAAAATATAAAATAAAAATAAATATCCAACGAGACCTTCATATATGCATGTGTGTGTATATATTTATATAATTATTTATTTATTATTTACAGTGACAAAAACTTGCTTCTAGATATAAATTATAGATCTCTAAGGAAAATGTGGATCAAACTGATAAAATTTTAATGTAATTTTCAAAATAAACAAATTGTGAGATATTATATATAGCATAATATAAAATTAAAGTTTACGTTAAGGATATTTTTCAATTAATGCCTATCAGGTCTGTTAATGAAACTTTAATACAAAATTATATCTACGAGTGTCTAAAAAATCCCGACTCAAAAATCCGATCAATCCACCTAATACACAATTATGTACGGTTTGGATTAGGTTGAGTTCAAATAAATAAAAATTTTACGAGTATGAATGATTAAAAGGTTCATCTAAAATAATTTTTTATTGAATCCAACTAATCCAAACTTATTACTAATTTGAAAACCATTTCACTAATTATATATGTATATATTTATTTTTATTTTATTTCATTAGATTATTTATTATCAACTACTTTTAGAAATAACTCTTATTTTTATTTTTATTTTTTTGTAATTTTTTCCATATAAATAAACTTTTACTTAGAGTCTTTGATTCAAAGTTATAAAACATGTGAATAAATATTTTAAGACATTTTTTTAATACAATATTTTGAACGAGTCATTTTTAATATTTGAGATATATAAAATATATATTTAAGATAGGTAAAATACAACTTTTTAAAGATAACTTTTAAATTTTATTACTATTATTATTTTTAGCTCAACTAATTAAAACATATTTGAGACATATAAAATATATATTCAAGATAGGTAGAATACAATTTTTAAAATAACTTTTAAATTTTATTACTATTATTATTTTTAGCTTAAAATATATATATCGATTAAGGATGAAAAGTCTTAATATCTAAGTATAGTTAAACTAAAAAAATAAATCTAAATATTTTAGAATAAATAATTTCTTACTACCATGCGATAATTTATTATCTTTATCCATATTTTTATAAATATAACGATCAAAATTTTATTGGGTCATGGACAAACATGACCGATTTAACTTTAATTTTAGCCCAATTGTCAGGTGTCAAAAACAAAATTAATTAGGCTAGTCTAATTCTTTTTTTTTTTTTTGTTGGTTTAGCCATAAGAAAAGAGAAACATGGCATTATTTAAAAAAATGGCATGTTTTTAAATTTTTAAAATTAATTAGTATCAATTTCAATGACATATAATTTTATCATTGGCTTTGAAAATATTGACTTTCTGGCATAATTGATGTAACATATATACATTTGAGACATGTAAAATATATATTTCTTTCTATGGTATTTAGTAACCTGTTTAATTTTATATTTGTTAAAATGAAGTTTGTTTGCTGAGATGATTTATTTTGTATCATTGAAATCTCGAACAAAAAAAATCAAAACTATTTTTTAAAAATTTAATTTTAATTAAAAAACAAACCATTAAAATAAATGAATACATAATTCTTTATTGGCAAAAATGAAGCATTTTCTAAACAGTGAAAAAAAATGACAAGGAAATGAACTTGTTGCTCAAATCTAATATCATAGACTAAAATAAAATATTTCGAAACAAAAATGTACGATATCGAGACTTGGGACGAAATCAACTTATTGTCCAAATCTCAAGACTTTACTCTATATTATTTAATTGCGTGTGATTTTTTTTTTTTTTTGTTATATTTATTTTAGTTGAAGCTACCCTATTCTAATTTAAAGTGATATTTCATTCCTTTCTAGTCAGCATGAACTGAAAATAGGGATAAAATAAAAATGTAATATTCAATGTATTATCTAAAAATAGTGTCAAATATGGGAAACTTTAATTTTGCCTAATATTGAATATTAGAATAAAGGGTCTTTTAAAAATATAATTTTGAAACCAACCTCTTTTTCAGATTTTTATTTTATTTTTTAATGGCCTTGCATGTGGAAAAATCTCCTAATTATTGTGTATCTTGGCCAAAAATATAGCAAAAGACAAAAGTAATATGTCATTTTATTAAACGTATTTTTCAATATTGTTCGAAAATATTTAATGGTTCCATATTATTATTATTATTATTAGTATTATTCTTTTTCTTTTTTTTTTTTTGAGTATTAGTATTATTCTTTTAAAAGTTTGGATGGTTGACCAATAATTTTACTGGGAATGTTGAAAATTAGGAGTGTAAGTCAAAATTAAAACTAAATAAATAAATAATGGATGAAACTGTCTTCAATTCGATCAAGTTTAAAATTGTGCAAAATTTTTTGAAACAAAATCAAGTTTATTCTTGAGTTATAAAAGAATTAATAAATATTAAAAAGTAAACATACCATAAAAGAATGAATATTTAATCTATAATTTTGAAATCTTTACTTCGATGTTAGAGAACAACAAATCCATTCTATATATAAATGGGGTTGCGGAAAAAAAAAATTTCAAATATTTTATCTTCATCCCTAGGAATTCCACTTTTTTCAAATTAATTTTCTCTCTTAATGTTAGAATATAAAGAGTTCATATGTGCGGTTTTGTCTTTTAGCTTCTATAAATTAATTAAAAAGTTATAATTTATTTTTAATTATAATTAATCAAGAATTTCAAAAGTTTTATTACTTTTTTTTCCACACCAATATAAAGAGTTTTTCTTACTCTTTCTCTCAACTTTTTCTTCATCAAATCTTGATCTTCTTTTCTCTTTCGGTATGTTTTTCTCATTTAGTCAATGTCTTGTATTTTCTTATATTTAGTTAGATTGTTTGATCGAACAATCAGTTTTTAGTTTTATTTTCAATACAATGTTAATAATTGTTATTTTAAAGAATACTCGATTACTTAAAATATACTTGTTTATTTTTTGTTATTTTCTTTTTCAATCACTCAAATAAGAAATCAAAACAAAGTTTTATTTTCTTTTATGCATGGTTATGTTTAGAGAAAAAAAAAAGATGAAAAATTCATGAATGTGTGTTTATTTTGGAAAAAGAATTTAAGTAATTGAAGAATAATATTTGTAGTCACACTAGATGAAAATTATTGAGACGTTGATTTTATGAGTTGGAAGATAAAAAAACAAAAGAAAAGCTTGATGAGGTAAATATTGAGAGATAAAAAAAACCAAATCATATTAAAAACGTGCCTCGCAATATCTGTTTCTTACTAGTAATTATCAATTTTTTTTAATAAAAAAGAAAGAACATTAAATAATATATAGTGATTGTTTTAATTTATTAAAAATATGAAACAAAAACAGAAATGTAATCGTCAATTTCAACCAAATATTAAGTTAAACCAACCCGCTTACGCCCCTAATCAAAAATAAAAAGTATTTTAATTCGCCCTCTCATTTTTCTAGAAGTGGCCAAACTCATCACTTGCAAAATTTTGAAAAATACAAATGAATTTAGTATGATGCATTAAAAAAAATATTTTGAAGTTTGTTTTGACAAAGTTATTAATGGGGTTGGGAATATTCTCCAACATTTCACATGTCTCTGCTTGTCCATAGTAGGACCTTGGGCATGTTATTATTTGTCACAATTCCAAAAAGGAAAAAAAAAGGACAAAAATCAATGGTTGGATTCAAATTATTAACATTTTCTAATGATTTTAAAATAATGCCTACTTAATTTTTTGTTTCATCCTTATAAATATTTTAAAATAATCGTATGATTTAATACAACTTATTACCAAGAAA